TCTATTCAATTAATACATTTATAATTACAATATTCAAATTCTGGTCGAATTCCAAAATTTTGTACTAAAAGCACTCGAAACTTTCGAAAATAAGAAATTCTTCAACACATTCAAGCTCTTTTTTCCTTTTTATTCTGTTTTGTTTTTTGTTTTTCAAAGAAAAGTGCTGAAAAAATTTTGGAAATTATCCATTTGAACGAGACATAATGACGGTAATAGCAGTTAGGATGAAAACAGTTCGATACAATCTTTCACAATATGATAAAGTTTATTGGATATGAATGGAGACGATAGATAGACGAAATAAGTCAATTAAAGGGATAAATTGAAATTATCGAAGAGCGCCGATTTCCCATGTGTGTTACTTTGCTATATTATTATGGCTTTACTATATTACTACAAAATCTTCATGTCTTTTGAAATTTTATAGATAAATTAAACTGATGAAATGCTTAATGCTTCCTCTTCTTCTTGTCTAGCAAATATAAATAACCTTTGGCCCAGCTATTCTCGAGGAAAAGCAACAATCTCTCTCAAGTTTCCTGATAAGAATATATGCATATATAAATATAAATATAAATATAAATATAAATATATATATATATATATATACATATATATGCATGTGTATTGGAAATAATTTCGAATATCTTTCCTTTTTTCTTTAATATAAGAAAATGCAATTAATTATTACTAATTTTTTTCATTAGTTGTATATGATTATCTCATTTAATTCTTCTTTTTTCAGTTGTAATTACTTCTCATTTCTGTCTTTTTTTATTTTTCGCCTGTACTAATAAACATGTCAAATGTTTGAAATATTGAATGAATGAATCCCAAATGAGAAAACAACCATATCGCGGTCATTTATTAATAAGTAATCACATTATTTGGCGGCATATCAATCAGCCATCTTTCCACCATCCCATCCTTCTCCTTTTTCTCATCGCCTTTTAATGATTAATTTTCTTTTTTTTTTTTTTGTTGATATTTTATATTTCTAACAATACGACTTCATCTGTTGACGAAACATTTTAAATCTTGCAGAATTTCTGACCTGTTTAGATTGAATGGTACAAACAATAAGATTTCCTTAATAGGCACATATATTTGTATCTTCCAAATACAGTAATAGATCTGTCATTAAATACGGTGAAAAAGATGTCAATAAATAACAGTAATTAGCTGTCTGTCAAACCTTCAGATAAATTATTACCACTTTTTTTCCGTTTGCTTATGTATATGCAGTGTTTTTTTTCTGTTGATTTTCTACTCTTCATTATTTATTTTGGTATATCACAATGTTTTCCTCTCTCTTTCTTCTCTTTTCTCCTCTCTCTCTCTCTCTCTTCTCTCCTTCTTAGTCTACCATAATTGTGAGTAGATTGTTCTCTATGTTGTAAATTATGAGTGCATAATTTTGCTTAACTCTTTGATTTACCTTTATTTTTCGCCTCTTATCTTATTCGACCTTTCCTTCCCATTCAAAAAAAAAGAAAAAAAATGAAAAAAGAGAAAACGACGCAGCAATTCTACCTACTTCAATAAAGTGGTAAAGTGGTAATCAGTTTTATTCCAAATTACAAAATCTGAAGTTTGTATTTGTCAAAGAGAGTGAGAGAGTGAGAGAGAGGGAAGAGATAAAATATTCAGTGTCATTCGACTCGAAATCATTTTTATGCTAACAAGTGAAACGGACGACAACTAAACAAAAGCAAATTTTTTTTGCATTCATTATCCTTCATTTTATAATATACGTATCTTTCTTTAAGAGTGGAACCAAAAGAAAAAAAAGAATAAACGAGAATTTTTTCTAAAATACAAAACCAATTAATTAAGTATAAGTTTCATTTAACGTTTTGATTTTGAAAAAAAAAAAAGTTAATTTTGTGATTACTGATTTACTGATTGCTTTTTTAGTGCAAAATGTCTCTTCCCCTTCAATTCATTACAACATTCACCACAGTTTTCTGGTCATATCATCCAACATAACCATGGTAGCAACACAGTTATTCATCTTTGAAATCAATGAATTCCCTTTGATGAAATTTTCTCTTCCCTCTTTCTTTTGACTTATTTAAATTAGACGTAAAATTAAATACACCCTTTAACTGGTAATAAATAATGATAAATGAATGCGATTTTTTATTGCGATATTTCAAATAATTTCAATAGTTAATTTCTAACTTTATCATTTGTTAACATTTTATCACGTTCATTGCAATCCTTTGACATAATTAATTTTAACTTGAGCACTTCTACATTGATTGAAACCTGCACAGACAATAATTTAATCGCATCGACTTTTGCAACCTTTAAAAAGGATGCAAATTTTGTATAGTGCTAGCACATCGCAAATAATGAATGATGAATAACGAACGACGAATAGCGAATATTTGGCTTATGCGATACAATTCTTTTCTTTTTCGCGAAACAAAATACAGAATTGCGACAGAACGAAACAAAACAAAATGGAAATTTAAGATTACATTTTAACATGCAAATGAAGAAATTAAATGTTTGATATCATATAATCATGATTTGATCCAAAAATTAAATTTTTCTCTCACAGAAAAAGGAAAAGAGCGAAATGCCAATAATAGTATGCCTTAAGAATTGATATTGCTATTGATAAACTGATAATACATGTTAAAGTTGCTAACAATGAAATAGATTAATTTCATCATTTATCAGATCTGTTAGGAAGAAATGAAAACTGCCTAAATTGCAAACTGCCTAACTGATAACTGCTTACTGTAGTCTAATCAGTTATCATTCTATTTGGTATTTCAAGGTAATCACTCTTTTCGCTGTAAGTTCTTCTTGTCCCATTCTCCTTTTTCCTCTTCCTATTTCAAAATTTCCCAAAGAAAAACAATGTTATTTCAATTCGGTGGCATTAAAATCAATGGTTGAAACCATTTATATTGCTGTGTTGTTTTTCCCTAATTCTCTTTTTTTTTTGATTTTTGTTTTTCCAAAAATAAATTTCTGAAATTTATTATTTCGACCCAAAAGTTATCTGTTCCACACCAAAACCCAACCCCAATCATCCCATTTCAATCTAAAAGAAAAAGATTGAAGCGAGGCGGAAAGCATGGGTGATAATTTATGGTGCGCAATCAACAACTGGCGCATTTGAAGTTTTGTAAATGAAAAATTGAGGAATGTAAGCCACACCCAATCATCAGATTTATTTTTCCATCCTTCTTTTCCCAATCATCACTATACCCTCTTCCATCTCTCTTCTCTCTTCTCCTCTTTCTCCCTCTCATTTCGCAACTTTACTTCTCCAGTACCCCGTGTTCAACTCTCCTCTTAACATTTGTTTCGGCTTCGGGAACGGGGGAGAAGTTATGAAGTAATGAAAAAAAAAAACATTTAACGGTTATGTTGGACACTTTTTTTTCTCCGTCTTAATATGACAATACCGGTTGCAAGTTAACTAACCGTTTGATTCCGGATTATTCTATTTCATTTCTTTGATTCCGGATTATTCTCTTTCATTCCCTGTTTGATACTTTGGATCAATTTTTTCTTCCTTCTCATTTCTCTCTAAGAAATTATTTCACTCCCTTCTTCATTTTTTCCTCTATTCCGATTAGCCTTCTCGATTAATTTATATTTATATCCTGATAATTAGTATTGTTTAATTATCTTTGTCCAAGATTTTCATATATTTGCATAAAAGATAATGCTAACATATTGAACGATATGAGCAATAAGTCTAACTCTTGATGAGAAAAATGCAATTAATCAAATTGCTTTCCTTTTTTTCAAGCCTGGCGAAGAGTTCAATAGTCAAATGAATGAAATTCATAGTTAGGAGTAGTGAAACATTTATTATCACTTTAAATTATCATCAACATCATTACTGTTACTGTTATATATCATCACATCACTGTTATAAGGCATTACTGTTATATACTATCACAAATCTTTGTCATCATCAAATCTGTTATGCTTCATTATTCGCATCCCTACTCAGCCTTGTATCACTATCAATGTCATCATATTATTATCACGCTATTTCATACCACATTATCGCAAATTTCCACTACCATCATATCTACTGTACTTTATCATTCTGGTTATTATTCAATATTAAATAATCGATAAGATTTTCAAATGCAGAAGACCGACAAATCTAGGAATATAAAAAAATAAGATAAGAAGTTGAAGAATGAAGGATTGCTATCAGTACAAAATAATTTCCATATATGAATTCAATAGTTAATTTACTAATCGATATACTAATTAGAAAATTATAAAAGATCGGAATTAATATCAGGTCATCTCCTTAATTGCATATTTATTCATTCACTTATTGTCATCACTATTGTTATTGTCTCAGTAATTCATCCTTATTGAAACAAATGAATAATATATATATAAAAGTTGTTATATTTTTTCTTTCGATTGGATAATTGTGACGATATATTTTCACCACAGTCACTTTATGCTTAATTAATTCTTTCATCTTTTTGGGATTTTCTTCTTACTGTGATGAAAAAAGCAGAAAGTAAGTGAAACAATTAATACTTAAAGTCGAAGCAACAATTTAATTTTTCGAAATTAAACTTTTTTGGACTTGAGATTCAAATTTTAAACTTCACCATCTTACTCATAAAATTAGTAATCTAAAAGTGTCTTAATTGTTCGATCACTTGATTTGAATTGCACTAATTGTGATTTGAATTGTATTAATTATTACCTATCGTTAAATTAATTGATTTCAGTAATGATGCAAAGTTTAAAAATGTGCTAGCCAGTTGGCATATTTGCATACCGACGTTATTTGAGCAACATTACTTTAAAAAAGTAATAAGTTTATTTAATTTTTTCCAGAATTACTACTGGTTGATGATGTTAATCAAAATTTTCGAACGATTCCATTGGAGCTAACGGTTTTGCTAATTTTAACAGGAACGTTTTCGGTACATCCGGTATTTCCTAAATGCTATAATCATCATTGATCAATTTTGAAAACGGAAGATAATAATTTATAAATAAAAACGAGAAAAGAAAAGGACAAGAAAAAATTCGATTGAGAATATTTGGAAGATGGAAGTGCATCAATCACTTCCGGCTCGATATTTGCATAATCCATATTTGGTGAAAACAGAAACAACATTACAACAGCAACAACAACAACCACAACAACAACAACAAATTCTTCCGCCTCAGGCAGTAGTGGTAACAGTAACTGCAACAAATCAACAACAATCAACTTCGGCCGTTGTTTCCGAATCGTGTTCCTTAACATCATCATCATCATCATCATCATCATCAGCATCATCATCATCATCATCATCATCATCATCATCATCATCATCATCATCATCGGTATCATCCAATCGGCGTACAACGACGCATACGGTAGATGCAACAAACAGCAACAGCGACAACATCAACAACAATAACAGTAACAAGATCGATGAGAGTAACAACAATACTGAACACAACAGCAGCAACAACAAAAACAACACTATCATTAACATACAACAACAACAATCCGGAAATGGTACTGGTAGAAGTTTTTAAATTGTTTGATGAAGGAATAAAATTAAGAAGTAATTTTGATAGAAATAGTAAATTTTTGGAAAACACGAAGTAAATCAAGTTTAGGTTAAAATCCATTCATATAAGTTTTAGTGCAAAAATGATAGGAATAACGTAATTAAGGGAATGACGTTGATTATTTCGTAATTTCCTAACGAGATAATCATTTCAGTTGACATTATGACGTTATAGATTTAAAATTGAATTATAAGAATAATTGACTTTTTTTAATTTTAAGTCATCATATCAAAGTAAGTCAACATATCTGAAGGTTTTTCACAAATAAACTAAAGTAGGAATTTTTCATAAATAGGCTCAAATAGGAATAGAAAAACTCCTTAATCTTAAAATCTACAATTAGAAAACAAATGTGCAAATAATCAGAAAAATTAGACGAATTGATAATTTCGATAATTTGATATTCGAAGTTTAATTTGATATTTTAAATTTGATAGTTTGCCATTTTAAATCTGATAATTTGATATTTGGAATTTGATATACATGAAAATAATTTAGCAGACTGTGATTTGCAGAATCCTTTCCTATCTTTCATTCTACTTATTTTCGTCCAAAATTTTCCGTTGTCACTCTTATAAACTTAATATTTTAAGCTAAAATTATGCATATGCAAACGTTAAATCACATCATTTAAGCTAATATTATCCAACAAATTTTCTATAACATTAACAATTCAAAAATATTTGCAATGATATAAACTTAAAAGATCGATTTGATTAGATGAGATAAAATTCTCAAATAAAAGCTCACATTTTTTGCTCTTTTTAAATTTCGTGAGAGAAAAAAAGAACAAAAGGGATAAACTGCCTAAAATATATGTCAGATTTCATACATGTACATTTATTACTTATCTATGTAATTAACGCCAAGTATGTTGCTGCCAATTAAGACATAATAGTGGTTAAAACGAAAATTGTTTTTAAGGACAAAAATTGATCATTTAAATGATAAATGACCTTTGTTTTTGTTTTTCTTCTTTTTCCTTTTTTCGTTCAAATTAATTAATGTTGATCGTTTTCTAGTAGTAACAACAGATTATCGGTTGTATGGGCATGACATAACTACGGCCACTGCTACAGCGACTACTACAAATACCCAAATTGCTCATTCATCATCCTCCAATATCCATCAAAATGGTAATTTTTTCCGTTCATCTTTCTTAAATTTACCCGTATATTTTATTCATATGCATCCATATGTTCGAATAAAATCCGATACAGATATAAATGAAAGTGACATGTACGAGACGTTTACGGGAATAAGGAATACTTACAAATATCATAATTACTTTTTACTTTTATATTTTACATTACTTCATCTACTTTTTTTTAAAATTTAGTTCAAATTTCACTTAATTTGAAAAGTTTTCTCTGCCAAACTACTTTTACATTTTAATTTCACTTTTCACTTCAACTTGCCAATATGGGACAATGTGCTCTCCACTTAATCTTCAAAATTTATTTACAACAAAAAAGAGAGCAACAGAAGTTAAAAAATTATTTTTACCATTCAATTTCATGAAGGATAAAATCTGTGTTCGATGGTACTGTCAATATTTTGATTTAGTTATATTACGGTATGAATTGATACATTCATCAAAGTGTTATTATATTCGCAAGTTTATTTTCTACTCAATTTCATACGGTAGTCAATAAGTATTAATTAGTTTGATTCAGTCATCACTTTTTGCTTCCTTTTTTTTAGGAAGGCCATTAACAGCTGATCGCAAGCGACCATATAACTGCAATATGTGTTCGTCACGATTTGGCTCTAAAATGGAACTTGAAGAACATCAAAATTCACATACCGGCGAGAAACCTTTCGAATGCAATGTATTTCATTTTTCCAAATTTTATAACTAAGCTTTAAACATTTAAATTATTAAGTACTTGCAGTTTTATTGAATTTTTACAAATCATTTCTTGGATTTAATATAAAAATAATAGTCATTTTAATATGATAAATAAGAGAGCATTGTTATTTATTTAATCATATCAGTGCCTTCTAATCATATCATATCATACATATTATAATGACGTTGTATTTTGATTAATAAATATACACAGAGTTGAAAAATTTTACTACAACAACAACAACAATAATAAGATATTTGAAAGAGAGTAGTTTAATTAAATTTTATCGGATTTTCATCCAACTACTACTTTGACACGTGCTACCTTTGTGTAACAAATAAATCATAATAAATTTGTGTAATATGTTAAGCTTTCGGGTAATTGTTGCCAAAAGTTCATTTTCTAATTCGTATTACACTTAAGTGCCATTCAAAAAAAAAAAAAAAAAAAGAAAAAAAGAAAAAGAAAAAAAGAAAAGGACGGGAAAAGAACAAAAAAGAAAGGAAATAAATGGTAATCATAGATAAGCTGATATCATTTAACTATTCCATTCAATTAAATTTATGAACAAGATAGGAAAGAATAAAGTTCAAATTTGGAATTATCTGTTAAAATTTCTTTTTTTTTGCAAAAACTTTCAAATTTTCTTTTATATTCCATTTATTTATTCATTATTAAAAAGAGAAAGAGCTGTGAATAAAATTTAATCATGAATTTTAATGTCAAAATTTGGAGTTATATATATATATGACATGGATTAATTTATTAAAAATTTCTAAATGCAAGAATTCGACTAATTACTTTTATTTATTTTTTTAGTTTTTTTTTAAAAAGGAAAAGAAACAATAAGTAATTATTCGATTATTACAAATAATGAATAGAAAATGATATGATAAGTTTATCGATGTAGATGTGTAAAGCACGGTTTAATCGTCGTTCAACACTTTGGAATCACAAGCGCATTCATTCGGATGATAAACCGTTCGAATGCAATGTATGTCGTATGACGTTCAAATGGAAGAATTCGCTCAAATGTCACAAAGAAATGCATCAGCGGAAAAATGAGATGACAGGAATCGAGAATGATCCATTGGAAAAAACGCTTACCTATGCAACGGCAGCTAAACGACGACATGTTCGTTTTCTTCATTTAATATTCGAATTTTTGAAAAAGCGAAAAACAAATTAATTGCATGATTGTATATAATTCATTTAAAGTTTTTGATTTTATTTGTTCATTTATGAGTGAGTAATACTTATTTTCGTTTTGAAATATTACAAAATTTAGGGATTTGAATAATATCATCAGAACAAAATTTATTGGAATGATGAAAAGAGAAAAAAAAAGTAAAACAGAATTTTCTCTCTGCTTTTCAGCATTCCAATCCTTTCTAATTCAAGGAATTGCTGAACTATAAGACAAAAAGAAATTTTGTTTAAACCTGATAATGAGCAGAATGTAAATTTGTTCTTCAGCCATTATATTTAATATTCATTGAAATATCATATTATTCTTTATACTTATTTGTCCAATTGTAATAGTAACAACAATAGTAAATTCTTACTTTCATTTCTATGATAGACTTTATTCATAGAGACATAAAAGTTTAGAGAATATAGAAAAAAGTTTTTCATGGTAAGCATATACTTGAAATATCTGATTGCATATCAAAATTAGGTTGATAATATCTAATTTTTTTCTTTGTTTTTTTATATCAACATTTAAATATTCTGAAAAACTATCATTTTATGCAAATATCATTATCTCTTACTTGAAATAAATGAAAATAAGCCAAAAGCATTATTTTTAATAACAATGATAACAAAAATATAATAATAACAATAATAGTAAAAACAATAATATATAATAATAACAACAATAATAGTAAAAACAATAATAGCAACAACCTATCTATTAATTATTTGATACGAGAAATTTGCCTAAAAATTATGGCAAGTAAATTTTATTTTAAAATTAAATTTAAAATAAAATTACCGAATATTACTGTTATTGTCTTCATATCAAAATTTTAGCTGGAGAATCACGACATTGTAAACGCAAGTTCAAGTTCAGAAATGGGAATAAGTAATGTGCGGTTGACAACAAGTTCAGCAGGTGGTATTGGTCATTTGACAGGATCGGGAAGGCGACGTAATACCAAATTATCAGTACATTCACGATCGATAACATCTACCAGCACTGATCTTATCATTGGTACTGCCAATATCCCAAATAATACCAACAGAAGCAACAGCGCCAACAACACCACCACTACTAACAACAACACTAACACCAGTTCTAGTCATTCTCTTATTGGTTCAAATGATGCATTTATTCATGCACCATTACAAACGGTAAGCTTATTTTTAAATTTCTAAAATATCATTGAAATTTCATTTTTGAAACTAAAAAATTGTTACGCCATTAAAAAAAAATTGCAAAATAAATTTCAAAAAAAAGTGCAAAAAATGAGAAATAAAATTTGATAGTTAACAAAATAATAATCATTAAAATGATAAAAACAACTTTTTTGAACTTCGGAAATTTTCAGTTCACAATTGTTTTCAAACAAATTAAGAGAAAATAGCTATTTTATTACTTTCCTTGCCAAAGTAAGTTAGAGGGAATAAAATAACTTTGGCTAGGAGAAACCAAGCAAGAATGCAAGATGAGTATAAATAAACATTCCTGTTTGTAATTCCGGAATTATTTTTGGCAATATTTATTGAAAACTATCTTCCCCAAAATAGCACCTGTTATTATTGTCAATCAATTAGAATGAAAAAGGAGCGCATCTTTGACACGCATTGCTCATTTGGAGGTCAACTTGTTCTACTTAATACAAGTTACTTAGTAATTTAATTTTCAATTTTTCAACAAAATTTCATCGAAACGAATAAATTTTCTAATTTTTTCCTTTCATAATATTTCTAAATTACCTGTCTTATCTGTTATCGTCTTTATTGATTTCATTAGCCCGGATGAGAAAGCTTTTTCAAACATTGTACTAGACGTGATCACGTAATACACGTAAATGAATGGACTTTTAATTTTGCAATGGAAAATAAGAAAACAAAAACAGAATTGTTGGTATTAATATTGCTGAACAACTGGAATAAACAAGCATTCATTAATGGGCAGTAAAACTATCACTTCTTCCCTTCTTTCATTAATTCCGTTTAATTTCCCAAAAGGTCAACTTCCTCTTGCCAATTTCTCGTTTCATCGCATTCCTAGCAATTAATCATTGGGCGATTATACTGTCATTTAATACTGCTAAAATTCTTGAATATTTTTTCTTTTTTAAAAATTTATTAAATTTTCAACTGAAAAATTCGTCGATTTCTTGTTGACTGTCATCAAACTCATATATTTGCAACTTTCAGGATGGTTTCTTTAGTAGCCAAAAGGCATTATCAATAAATGATCACAAAGAGTTGGATTCATTATTGAATAGTACCACACGGTTAACGTCAATGCTTAAAGATGACTCAGCTTTTAAAACTAATCTATGGTTTGTATTTTCATACTATATTGCTGCAATTTGATAATTTCACTTATTTAAAATATTAAAGAAAAGAGAGAGAGTTTATTGAAATGTTTACATTGCTAATTACATCATTAACCTTTCTTTGAATGGCTTGTTAATAATTAAATGAGATGTACCACTTCTCAAAAATTTTCTTGGCATCTTTTTTATGTTCTGATCTATCGCAAATTAATGTGGTTATCATTTGTCTCTTCGTTGCTATCAGTGCTATCATCTTCTCCTTTTATCAGTTTCCACAAGTTTTCTAGTTGATATATTTTCGAAATAAATTGCAAAAAATAGGATTTTTGGACCAAATGGATGAAACAGCATTTTCGTTTTATCCTACTTTTCAATCCAATTCTTTGATTATAGAGAAAATTGAAATGAATTTCCTTTTCAATTATACAAATGGAATTTTTTGAATTTCCTTTTCAATTATACAAATGGAATTTTTCCATGAATATGTGTTAATGAAAGATATGAAGAGAAAGTGAATAATTTTTATTCCGATTTATCATCTGATTCTAATTACTCTAGCTTATTGCAGTGATGATCTATCAAGCTTGGGAAATCAAAGTAATACATTTGATACAAAACAAGAAATGAATGTAAGTCTTTTTGAATGTAAATTTTAAAAATTAAAAAACTAACAAATCATCAAAAATTGACAAATTCACTTTTATCTGACAGTCCGAAATCTATTTTAGGGGTAGAAATTAAATTAATATGGAAAATTTTGACCTTTTTTCGTTATTGAGATATCCAAATCTTCCCTTCCTAAATTATTATTATCGAAAGTTTTATTTTCATAGGTTCTACTTTTGTTTTATATACGAACCATTGCTTTATTATAGCTATAATATTCCAATTCAACCGTTTTAATTTGAAATGGGTTTTAAAAATAATTCATTGATTCCTTTAATTTATGCAAAAAAAAAATCTTTTTTCAGCTTTTCCATGCTAATCCATTTATGATGTTCGGTGCTCATCAACTGGTAAGCGATTCTATATTTATCCTGTCATTATCATTCTCACTTTTTTCCTCATAACTATGAGTTTACCGTATTATTATCAAAATTATTTTAGTAATTATTAATAATCATACTTTCCACTGGTTAATTCATCGTTTTATGTTACGCATTGGATGAGTTGTATCATTTGAACAGATGGTTATTTTTCAAATTTACATAAGAAATTCTAAGCTGACAAGCAAAAGTGAACCTTCTTTATATAGCTTAAAATAAAATAGATTCTTCTCTTCTTGCTTAAAATTTCCGTGGATATATCATTTGGAATAGTGACAATAGCATATTCTGTGACAATCAGATATTCAAATCTAATTTGATAAGTCGTACAAATTAGGCCAGCTATAATTAACTTATTCAGTATCTTTGATTCTAAAATTCTCCAACTATAAATTAATGTTGCTTAATTTGAACTTATGATTAAGCTCTTATTAATATCTTTTATTTCTTCCATTTTTGGCGAAAATCTTCTATATTCAAAAAAAGGAAAAAAAGTCATTTTGGGATTTGCCAGTTTAACCTGCAATTAAATTAATTTACAGCAAAATCCGATGCAATCTTTTACACCACCAAATTTGGCTTTTTCAAGTAGTAACGGTGGATGTGGTGAATATTTCCATCTGCACCTAAACAATCAAACCGATCAAATACCCCAACAAAGCCTGCAACAACAGCAGCCGTTCGTATCTCAATATTCCACTGGTGGGACGTCGTCTCATACCACGGATTTGTTAACAAATCACAATCACAATGTGATCAGTTATCAACCGCAGGTATTTTCTTAATATTCCCTTTGCTTAATTAACATGTTACAGTCCAGTTATCCGCAGAATGAGTGTATACTTTGATCCTCAATTAAAGAGGAAAAGAAAATTAAGAACGAAAATTTCCTGCGAGAAAATATTGTCCTTAGTATTTGCTGTAAATAAAAACAAACCAATAACAGCTTAGACTAAGTAATTAATTGTTAACATTCGTCCAGTCTTCATACTGGAGACGACATTTTCCATTTAATTATCAAATCTATCGAAATTCAAAACTTGCGCGTTTATTCAAATCTAACCTGGACTGTACGACCAGTCATTTTGATTCTCCATTATTCGGATCGTAACTATCTCTTTCGGTATACTTGTACAGAATATGTGTGCGATCACGTGAGCTGTCAACCTGTTCCTTCTATCGATTTAATCCTGTTACAGTGAATTATAACCAGTTGGCTTCTTTGTCCATTAATAACATCTTTTGCTTTACATTATTTGACTTTTAGAAATGTGGTGATAATTATAATTGCAGTTGGAAGCACCGTCATCATTGATAACACCGGCACTGGATTATGCAGTAAGTGGTGATAACTTGGAATATATGTTGAGCAATTACTCGTCCACGATCTCATCTGTTACTTCGGTTGCATCCACGGGAAATGAGATACGGCCAAGTGTTGCGGAACATTTACAACAGCAACACTATGCGGGACAATCTGCTGGTAATAACAGTTTACGAACCGATGATGTGGTTGTCGCTAGTGTTGTTACCGCTAGTAATACCGGCAAAGAGGTACCACAAGTGTCATGGTAATAACAAGAACTTTAATGGAACCATACCGTTTGTCATCATCGTTATCATCATCATCATCATCATCATCATTATCATTATCATCATCATCATCATATTTCCTATATGACAGTGGTCTCATTGATACTCATTTTTAGTCATTCATCATCATTTTGGGCTTATATTTCTGTTTCTGTTTTCATACTAGCAGAGCATGCACTAAAGTAATAAGCAGATAAAAAGAGAGAAAATTTCATTACTTACGTGATGTTGATGCAAATCACGTAAATCACATATCGACCAAATTATCTCCCATTTCCCTCTTCCAACTTCTTATATCTTTCTTGAAGTATTTAGCAGGTAGAAATTTTCAAAATTCTTCGAGTGCATGCTTTTATTCGTCGTAAACTCAACCGCTGTTTTCGATCTCTGTGGTTGTTATTCTAACTGATTTGAAATTTCAGTTTGTTAAAAAAAGTTAGTTTTTTTTTCTGTTTCATTTTATATGGTATAAATCCGGTTTTGCAAGAAAAAAAAATTTAAATTTATAATCCTTAATAAAACTTCTAATATATATACAAGAAAGTAGAAGGAAAAATGCTACAAATTTTGGGAGTATAATAAATTATTGTTTAAAAATCATTCGTAGGAGTGATTAAAACTTATTTAATTAAGTGGACATACAGTAACGCTAATTAATTGTGGTCAAATTTGTTTTTCAAAATGTTATCAAATATTTTTTTTGAATGTTTTAAAGCTTTTCCTTTTTTCTTTTGGAATGAACAATTTAATAATCAAACTAACATTCCAATTATTAGGTTTACTGCTCGGCAGTGCTTGCAATTCAAGCTAAATTTGCTTAGTCGGTTTGAGTTTACTCCTTCTCTTTTTCCTTTCTTTTTTTCTCCCTCTCATCTACTTTTCTATTTTTTGTTCAAATTTCCAACTGATGTTTCGTCCCATTTTTCATTTTAGAGGTGCGTCATTCTGAAACACCTAAAATGTCGCCTTTTAAAATTGTTCGTCTTTTCGATTAAAAAATAATCCAAATTAGTCTAATATAATATTAAATTACAAATCAGAAACAATGTTACTTTTCCTTCGACGAATATATAATATATGCATTAATTAAAGGCACGTAATAGTATGGTGCTATCAAAAAAATTAGGTGTATTAGCGCATCTGAAACTTCCTTAATGAAAATTAGTAATTAACAAATTATGAACAGACTAATCGATTTTCCCTTTTTCCACTTTTTTTTTCCAAATTCAAAGTTTCTTTTATTCCAGTTCAGTCAGATTTTTCATTTTTGAATTGTTTTTTTCTAATCAATGGCAAATTAATTAGCACACTACGGATAATATATGAATTAATTAGAAAACAACAAATCCAGAATTACAGTTTTAGTAAACGTATTTTTACCGAAGAATGACAAGATTTTTTACTTTCTTGCCAAATTTCCTTTTTTTAATTTTAAATTTGTGAAATATTTGTTAAAATTTTTTTCTTCAATTTTTTAGCTAAAGTTTTTTAAACGTGCCTTGCAGTGTTTTTGCATAATGATAAACATGTGCCTCACAAATGTTTTTCTGTTTATTTTTCTTCCTTTCTTATCATTATAATAATTTTTGGCTTGAAAAGTTTTTCTTAATTTTTTGTCTTGAAAGAGGAAATTGTGCCTGAGATTCCCTTTGCAGTTGTTTCATCATAAATTTAATAATTCCAATGTGCCATATTTTGTACAGTTCAGTGTTTTTTTCTTTTTCCATATATCTTTTATATTATTTTTTTTTGCAATTTAATTTTTCAATTCCATTCATCTGTTTTCCGTTTTCAACAGGAAATGCACTGCCTTAGATTACAAATATATTCGTTTACTGCAAAACATGGAATTTTAGAACTAAAACTTTGATAATTTAAAGTTATGGGGGAGGAAAACTCGTTAAAAGTTGAAATTTACAAAGTTATGGGAAAAAAACACAGCTCTTCCGTCTAGTAAGAATAGGAAAAACTATGGATGATATGGTACTCTAGACACATTCTTTTGCTATAAATATGTTTCATGAAATTGAAAAGTTAGTAGTATTCTTTCTTATTGTAGCCATTGTTTTAGCCTTCTCTCTTTCTCTCCCCAAAAATTCAAATTTTTATATTCAGTGAATAGCTCGGATTACGCAAAAATAAACGAATATAAAAACAAAAAATATGGAATATACAACTTATCATTGTTTAATCAGCTATTATCAGATAGATTCCGAACTGAAATTGATTCATCCAGGAATTATTCGGTGTTGAATTAATGATTGAATTCAAATTAAAGCATGATGATGATTGAATTATAATCGAATTTAAAATGTTTGTTTATCTATCATTTTTTTTCTTTTATCCAAAAAATCGGTTTTGATGAATAACGAAATTTAGTTTACCAAACAAAATTCAATTAGCATATCTTTCAAGAAAATTTGTTAGAAAGAAGTATTTATTGTCGAATGAAATTAGCATATGACAAAAGTGTTGACAAAAGTGATGACAAAAGTGGTGGTATTTTTATTTTCTAATAGTTTGTTTCGTTTGAAAATATTTTCTATTTTAAAATATTTACAATATAATTTGTTTTAATTCGTAGTATCATAATAAAGACATTACAATTTTCATCTCTTTTTACCTGGCCAATTTTTCCTATTCCATTCTTAAATATTTCATTAGCACTCAATTTTTCCTCTCTAATATTAATTACTGTACAAATGAAGAAAGGAAAAAAAGAAATGCGTATATGTTAGTAATATTTTTTTTTTTGAAAATAAACATGTCCAAGGCAGTATATACTATAAATTTATAGAATGATGCTATTATTATTTTAGCAATTAGAAATTTTCCAACTAATCTATTTCCTTAACTAAATTAATGTTAATAATAATAATGATAGGACAGAATCATTTTCAAATATTACTAATTCAATTCAGTTCAATCATTTTTTGCCTTTCCTTTTTTTATTTCATTGTTATAATTAACATTCGTTATATTCCTAATATATTATTAATGCGTGGTCTTCTATCTCCCATTTTCCCCCGTTATTTCCCATTTATTTACTCTCTTCTCCCGTATCCCATCAGCGCTCTTTCCTTTTTTCCAATTACTTTTTATATACAAACATTTGTTTGTGCGAAAAATTTTTTTGACACTTAAATACAGTTATTTATTAGCAAGAAAAAAGGAGTTAAAAAACAATAACTGAAAATTGATTACTGTGGCATAAAATACGGATTGATTACCAATTACTAATTACTTCAATTCAAACAGTTAAGCCATACAGTAATTAAAGATTGATTACTGTGGTTATAAAACATGATATTAATTAGAAATCACTAATTACTGCAATTATTACTGAACAGAGTTAGCTGAAGGTTGATCACTGCGGCATGAAACATGGCATTAATTGACAATCACTAAGGATCGATTACTGTAGTGTAAAACAAAGTACTGATTAGCAGTCGGAAAAAAGAAAAGGTGATTAAAGAAGGATTCAGATAAAAACATGGGTCACTATGTACCATAATTATTATCAAGTAATTATTTTCATAATATACAATTTTCTGTTCTTACTTTTGTTTAACGGACATTTTTTGAAGTAATTTAAAATTATCTTTAAATGTAACTTTAAATATAAAGCTGTTTTGAATAATTAAATCGATTTGGTCCCACTGCCAAGTTTATTCAAATTAAAACTCATGATTTCAAAAAGAATAATTATTAGCATAAATGGAACATAAGAGCACGAATCACCTCCTCAACACACCTTTATTAATCAAAATGTTTTCAAATACACATATGAAATTATTTAGATGACAGCAGAAAGATAGGAATTGATTTGTCTCGATACGACAAATTCATTATCGGAATAATAATATCAGCATTTGTTTTTCTTTTCTAAATTTGTCATCTGGTAATATTTTAGAATTTCAAAAAAAAAAATTTCCACAACTGACGAGATTGTTCTGATGAGTGATAAATAAAGCAATCATTTATATTTATTATACGTTTTATTAAAAACGAAAGTAATGAAGATGAAGATGAAAAAAAAAGATGAAAAAAGATGAAAATTATTTCGTATAAAAGTAACACGAGTCATTTAAGTAATGGCTGTTATCATTGATAAAATTATCAAGTGATATATTCCATTCTCTTTCTCTTATAAATATATTTCAGTAACGATTAAATCCGTATATTTTGAAATATAATGAAACAAATTCTACTAAATTAATTTAAACTTTTCTTCGTGTTTTTCTTTCTGCACTTTTTTTGTTCTGATGATTATTTTCATTCTTTTTTTCGTTCTTATTTATTATTAATTTTGTGTTGATTAAGCATTTACTTCACTGCCTTTCGGTTTCTTAGTAACATTTTGAGGTTTTTGGACTGTTGATTGCATTGTATTATTTGCGCCAATTATTGGTATCATTATTTTCTCAGTTCTACTGGCTACTCTTATTGTGGTAGGACGAGTCGTAAATGTAAATTTCACAGTAAAATTATAAATATTTGGGATAATTATCGTTCTATATTGGTTACGATAATATTCTTCGCCTTCTCGATCATCGTCAAAATCCGGATAATCTTGCTTAAGTGGTCGTGCTTCAGTCCAAAATCGTTTTGTTCGATATACTGGCAGCATTTGGAACTGCTGCATTTTTCCTGATAACATTCCATTGCTTCTGATACTGTTGGTGCTGCTTATCGGCATAATCATCGATAGTATGAAGTCTAGATGAAATTATTCCGTAACAGAAATAAATAGTTATTCATTATCCATGTAGCAATTAATAAACAATTAATGAAATTATTTCCTTGGTCACTAAATTTCGTTGCTTTAGAAAATAAATCCAAGTTGCACAAATTCATTAATATATATAGCTAATTTCTTTCAAAAATATTGCAAAAACACTACTCTGTTTAATTTCACATTCTTATTCATTTCAAATTTCATTCCATTTCTACATTTCATAATTAATTACACCTTCATAATTACATCGCTTGAAACGTAATTATTAGTATAACGATTATTTTGAATTACAATTGTACAAACCTAATGAGCAAACCAAAATGGAATCAACATAGATAATCAGGTAGTGCTAATTGAAAAGTTAAAAAGCAAAAGTATTTCAGACATTCTTTAGAATAAAATTATTCCATTAATTTTGTTTTTATTTTAATAAACTGAAAAATTTTTACCAATTAGAATAATGAGAAATAGACAGAATTTTAAAATAGTTTCAGCCATTCCTGTCCTGAAAATAAATATTATCTAATATTATTGGTAGACAACAAATTATCAAACTCATCGGACAGATTATGGATGACTGATATGTAGTCTGACAAATAACAAAAAAAAGCTCAAACAAATGACTGATAGGACAAGGTGGCTCAAATAACTAATAAAGAGATCCTAACCAGACTAAACAGAATCAAATAGATCAAAAGGACTAACATAGCCAAACAGATCCCCAAGTAATCCAATTAAATAACCTAGAATAATGAATAAGTTACCAATGGCTTTGCGATTAGCAGCACTAATAATACTATGCCTTGTTATATAGTTAAATAGCTTAAAACAATACTTAAGAAATAAAATGGGAAAGAGTTCTTCTGTAACAAACATCTACAATATTCGATAAAGATCCAAATATTTCAGTATGCTACATTTAGAAATGCAAATTTGACCTTTTATAAAACTGATTTGCTTAGTAAATTATGTCTCAAAAATTGCAAAAATTTATTTCCACTTTAAAAAGGAAAATGAAAGGGTTAAATTCTCCAATTGAAGGAAATACTAAAAAGTACCACTGCATAAAAACGGTTTTAAACTTAAATGGAACTTTTTCAAAAGTCGATCACGACTTCTCCGCCCCGTCCATTAATGTTTATATGTTCGGAAAACGGTTATCCGCTGATTCGTTAATGACGTCATTTGTAAATGATTGGAATTAATGAATTGCATTTTATTTCGCTACTACCTATTTATATCTTAATTTGCAGATTTTTTTTCGAATGATTTTTCCTTTTCCCGCTTTCCCGTATCTTCTCTCTCTCCCGGTACCGACCTAATTACAAGGAAAGATAAGCAAATTTTTATTCATTCAAATGACGCCAATGAATTAAAAACGAATTCTTATTTCATAAATATATCTGCAAATAATATCTTGCTTGTAACCTCGCACGACATGACGTCGTCCGAAACTACTTTTCCTATCAATAACTTTTTCAATTTATTCGGGATTCTTACCGGAATGGTTAAAATGATATAAATATTCTATGGAAAATAGTTTTTTTTTACTATATGCATGAAATGACTGGAATTTCGATGGAAGAACCAATTTGATAGCTAGACACAAATGAATAATACCCTGTAGCCAAGTACAGTATCATGTCATAACTCGATTAGATTCAGTTAAGACATATATGCTTAATTATCTTTTCTATGATAAAGGTAAAGCAACATTAGTACTGTTGTCGGTAGGTGGAATGATAAGAGAAATTTATTTTTTATTTTAGCTAACGAAAAAGAAAGAGAGAAAAACAAACCACAACAATAATTATTATTTTATACTGGAAAACATAATGCCTAAAAAGACAAATATTTGAAAACAAATAATATAATTTAGATGGTGGTCTAATATCACAACATATGAACAAAAAATAAAAATAAAAAACTAATAGCAATCAAAAAAGAAAGATATTTTGGAAATCCTCAAATATTTTTTACATTAAAATAGCGACAATGTTAATAATTAATCAGTGAATAGAGAGAAGTTCCAAAAAAATTCTTTGCTTTTAGAACAAATAATCCTTTCTTTTTTAACCGAATAAATAATTTTATTAAAAGAAAATGCCAGAAAAAATTGAACAATATTTTTAAGATATTCCTGAATCATTGTTTATTGATTAGTAATCATGATATTATTCATATAAGCAACACTTTTAACTTCTATCAGAAGTAATTTAAAGTAGAAAACTGTTTGGGACAATTTCATTCCTTAAAAATAACAAAAATATTTGGATTTCATGAATTTCATTCTCATGATTTCAATTGCCGGATATGAATAACCTCAACATTTTAGGCGAAAAAATCTGATAGACAAAATGTTTCAACATTTTGACTATCAGATTTTTAACATTTTAGATCTTGTTGATCCTACAGAATGCATACTAGTAATTTGGAATCATATCACTTTTATTTAATAAGTTTACTTGACCGCTGTCATTCATTTTATGCTGGGGTATACTTCATGATTGACATCACCTACAGCAAGTTGAACTTATCACCTTTTTGTCAAAAGACTGAATTTCAGAAAAACAATTGAATAACTAATTTGAATTTAATAAAATCTCTATTTTGATAACAGTAAATTTTTGAATCATTCATTAATTCAAAAATCGGAAAAGCTTACGTTACATTTACGGAAAATTCGATGCTGTTCGTTTTGCAAAGCATTCATACAGCTATTTAGCTGAGAATTTGAATAGTACAACGGATAGAATAGAAATTTATCTTTTCTTCATTTTTTTAATCCCTTATTCTGTAAAGTTACAATCTGTTTTAACTTCATAATGCATGCATACATGCGAACAACATTGCACGGCACTATCTGCAGAATGCATGCATAATGCAACCCATTTTCGCTTGAATAAATATACTGCAAATGACAAAAAGAAAAAGGGCAAAATAAAATGAATTTCAAATGTTCATTGTAAAAAAATAAAACAAAGATTGTTTGGAAAAAGTCTGTGAAACGGTCGTTACTTGTGTTTAAAAATTTTTTTAACTTTTGAACAAAAGTGAAGAGAAAGAAAACCGCAATTCTTTTCAGGAATTGCTATTTTCGTTCTCGTCGTTCAATTTCCCATCCCATCCATTCATCTTTTGTGGTTTCTCTCGTTTAGCTGATAAAGTGTTCTCCTGAAAAAAAAAGAAAGAAAAATTGAAACATTATTGAAATCCATCATCCGTTGCTCTTGACATTGGCTAAGAGCAGATATTATTTCATCTATAAAAAGAAAAAAAACAAATTATCTCAATTATATTCTTTACTCATGTAAATCTGTCAAGCTGTAATTTCAAGACATAGGCCAGAAGCTAGATCTAACGCATTATTTTTTTTGCATCTGGCTAGTAAACCTAATATTTTTTTCTGAATAATAAGGAAACGAATGATAAAAACAGTGTTCTCTAACCATTACTGATAATTGATATTTGTCTATTCACTTACTGTTAGCATTGATAACTTCATGTTTTTCTGTTTTTGCATTACTTTGTTCCAGCAATAGATGTTTACTAGTTAGAGTGTTATGTTCTTCCATCTCTTGCTACAAAATAAGCAATTAATTATTTTAATTTGAAAATTTAAAAAGGATTAAAGACTTTGTAAATTCTTGATCAATTGTAACCAAATTGAATTTCCATCAACACATACCTCATCTTTTATTGGTTTCACATGGATTGTTTCTTGTGAAATATTTGCATTCACATCAGCTGCGCAAATATTCTTTGATTCATTGAACACTTCCGATGAGACTTTTTGCATACCGCAAACTTTAATTTCCGGATTTCCGTTTGTATCAGTAATCAAAGGGATTTTCTCATTAACACTCACACAAGCATCTTTGTTCGGTGCAAAATAACTGATGAATTTATCCTCAGATGATAGCATTGAATCATTTACGGAACTCAAAATTAGTTGACCATCTGCGGTTAAACCGTTGATAATATAATAATATTTTGACAACATACTGTTAGTGGATGATCCAGCAGTGGTTTGAGGAATTTCTGATTCTAATTTACATTTCTCAAGTTCCATTTCTTGCGCACATCCTTCTGCCTGTGTAAAATGATCAGTGTCATCAGTTAATTCTTCACCAACATTATTTCCTATTTGTTGTGGTGGGATATCATGTTCAACATTTGATCTGTGTTCACTTAACACACAATTGTCTTGTCCTCCTTCAAATTTCCCTGTAGTATCAGTATGATAAGGATGTGAGATAGTGATCACCTCTCTGGCAGTACTCCGTGATTCCGATGTTTCCGTTCTCTCATCAGAATTATTCGCTTTGGCTGGATGCATGGATGAAAGAATGTTGTCGTGAGAGAGAAGATTTTCAACGCGTTTTTGCAAATCTTCATCAGAATCTGATTTCGGAGAATTGATCTCTGAGAACTGAGATGGAAATTCAGAGATACATTCCGGAACAGATACTATACGTTGACTTTCACTTGTTTTCTGAATAGCCACTTCTTCGGTTTCTTTCTCCGATGTTTTACTTGTTTCAATTCTTTCACCAGCTAGTTGCGCAACATTTTGTATCATATCATGCATATATTGTTCCAAAAATTCATTCAGCTGTCTTCTAATCGAATGCGTCCCGTCACTCACCTCTTCCGGAGCATCATTTCCCATCGAAGTCATCACTTCTTCACCCTTGGATATTTCGGATTCCTCTATTTCTTTAGTTTTTTCCAACAGCTGTTCTTGTTGGTCCAATGTTTCAGCAATAGCTTCCATCTGGAAGTGATCGATTGTCTCTGTATCAGGCTCTGTTGTCTCATCATTACAAACCACGATTTTCGGGATTTCTTCGCAGCATTTAGACTTTCCTGCAACAATTACTGCTTCCGAGCTTTCACGTGCGAATGCTTCCGACGGTAACTGTTCTGGAGTGGTACAATCCATCTCCAGTAATATTTCATTTCTCTCAACTTCTTTTTTCTTTCCAGTTCATCATCTGTAATATATTCTGGAATGGCTCGTATCGGATCAGGAGATTTTTCTTCGAAAGTGGCTTCAGCGTCTATTTCTACTGAAGTTATACCTGATCTCAGAACATTTGATAGCAGTGAATCTTCGGTGCTTTCAGATATTTCAGATTCTACTTTTGTTGAATTAAGTTTATCACTGCTTTCTTTCTCCTTCGATCGATATTCTTTCCCGGAGAAATGATCAGCACCTGAAGTTATTGTATTCAAAGTGCTGGAAGTGAGAGCATTTGCTTGACCATCCGATTCTTGCTTCATTGTTTCAAGTGAAGCTAAAATGAACGGTTGGGATTCCTGTGTGCCAGAGATCACAGGCTCCGAATTATCCGTCAGACCCTCAATTACCAGATTTTCAGGATTCAATAATATTATTTCAGGGAGTCTTTCTTTTCCTGCTGCAATTATTTCAGGAGTGGCTGGCTTGGTTCCCAAGACTGTTTTGGTTTTACTTTCATCAACCAGTGTATCATTATGCTCTGAGCGTTTCACATATATATGAGTGACAGAAACGTCTCCAGATGATTCTGGCTCTTCTGATTCCGTTTGCAAGACATCGTTGACTTTTTCGTTTGTGTTGTTTGTAATTTCTATTTCGGCTCTTGCTTCTGCCTCTGAAACCTCTATTCCTTCCGATACTTCTTTCATTTTCCATTGCAATTCCATATTTTGGAAAATTTCCTCATTGATTTTAGAATCGGAATTTTCAACTGAAGACGTATCATTCACGGAGACATCAAACACTGAAGCAAATGATTCTGGTTTTTCGTCAGTATGACATTTGTCATTGGATTCCAGACCGTCTATTGAGTTTTTAGCATCCGGTTGTTGAATTTTTATTGCGAGGCTTCCATCAGTTACCTTGTTTTCCTCTGGAACGTTTTTTTCCTGGTATTTTAGCTGCTTATCGACGAAACAATCAGGAAATTTTCCCAGCTGGAAAGCATCTTTCGCAGATTCCAATTCTTCCATTCCTGTTGCACTACTTGTAATTTCAGTTTTTTCACTCAAATGTTCATCACCCGATATCTTTTGCTCATTTCCCATGGAATCTTGTAATTGTTCAAAAGAAATTTCCAACCTCGGCAATTCTAATGAGTCATCCTTTGTCACAGATGTTTCCGAAACCAGAATTGGTTTCGGAAATTTGGACAATCTCTCAATATCATGTTCTCCTGGGTCTTGATTTACCTCAGATTTAATCTTCATTAGCCCGACTTGATGATTAGAAAATTCTTGTCCTCCTGAATACTCAATTTCTGTATGACATACCCCTCCTTCTGGCTCTTCAACCGAAATAAGTTTTCCCGGAGATACTGCAGAAGACAGCAAACTTTTGCCCACTGTAGTACGGTTTTCCACTACTTCTGCCAGGTTCTTTTCTGTAGCAGGAATTCCCTCCTTTGGATCTACTGAATAGATTTCGGATATCACAACGGAATCTTGTCCTTCCAGTTTTCCTTGTGGCGATACTTCCAAAATTTTTCCGTTAATTGCGACAAATTCATTTACATCGCATTCAATTGCGTTCGATACTTTTCGGTTTTCCGTTTCAGTATACAGAAAAGTATTGTCGCCTGTAGGCGTTATCTCAGGTTCTTTAACGGATATATCAGCATTACTTATTTCTGATAGTTTATCTTCTGCTACTAACACTGCTGTCGGTGACGAAATAATTTCATCAGTTTTTTCAAATTCTCCAGCCATTTTCTCTTCTACGAGCTTCAACTCTTCTGTTGATAATCTTCTGAAAGTTTCTTTTAATTGATGGAGTCGATCTTGTTGATTATCGATTTGTACAGTTTCCCTTTCATCAGTTGAACTTTCACTTGTAAGCAATCTTTCAGGCTTATTTTCCGTCTCCATCCCATTTCCAGCTAAACTTTGGTCCTCATCGATCTCTTCGGATAATATCATTTCCTGCGAGTCAGTTTCATTCTGCAAAGAATCAAAAGATGTTTCACAGCTCACAAGATTTTCTGCTGCTTCAGATGCTGTCCATTTGGAAACAGGAGGAATTTCGGAAACGACCACTGTATCAATCATTTCTAATTCCGTCTTCTTCGACGTTTCTGGTGATAAATCAAATGGCAAATCCGAATTTCTTTCATTTTTAGTTTTCGATTGGTCGATTTTTGGTTCCTCAACCATTTGCTTTGATACATTCGATTGAGATCTCTTTTCGTCATCTACCGGCATTATTGAATGATCTAGTGGCAAAACCGACTTCTCAAACATTGCTTCTCTTCCGGTTCTCAAATCTATATTTTCCGGTGAAGTAACGTCCGAATACATTTTTCGTTCATCATCGAAATTTAGTGGAGATCTTTCATTCCCGGGCTTAACTGATTCCATTTGCGGCTTAACGACTAATTTAGGAGTAGCAGAAATTGTCGCCTGCAAATCAGTTAATTCTGGACTGATTCTCGGCTTTATTTTCTGACCAGTTCTATGTCCCGTCGGTGTTGTTCTTGTTGTTTTTTGAGCAACCTTTTTCGCTTCTATTGGTGTTGATCTGAAAATTTTTCTTTTCTTAATTTTGTAAATGGAAAGCGTTAAAACTGTACATTTCAGCAAGACTGACACGACTTTGCAGGACTTAGTTTCATCTGAGGAAATTTCAAAATAAAAGTTTATAGAGATCGATTCGCTTATCTCTTTCCGCTCTTTTTTAATTTGTCTCAATTAATTAAAATTTTCAGATTTGTCGAATAATTAAATTCCTGAAATCAATCAAGTTGCTCAACAGTCTTTGATCAGTCAAGGGTTTTATCAGTATAAAGTCACGAAAATGAGTGATTTAATGTAACTACTTTCTTCCACGTGGTGTTTTGATAACGTTGTTGTCGTTGATTGCTGCTTGGCCGCTTTTTACTTTTCGAGAAACAGGAGGTAAGCGGGCATTATTCTCGGTATTATATTGTCGTTTGGACTGCGAATAGTTATCGTAAGAGTTATCGGATACACCACTTCGTGATGATTGTGGTTTACTGGAACGGCTACGATGTTGATTCAACGATTGGGTGCTCCTGCAACAAATTCAATGACAAAACGAAAAACATAAAAGATGTACAACAAATGCAGTTTTCCAATAATTCCGGCATCTTTCGGTTTTCCATATTTCATTTCCAGTGATTTATTTGCATACATTATGGAATTCTTTTTAGTCTTAACATTTTTTTCGATAAAAAGTGAAGAAAAAGTTATCTAATTTTAATAGGAAATCTTAAAAATCGACGAGATTGTAATGCTAATTTTGACATCCATCCTGTGGTCATTTCCTTGAAAATGGAAATCGTAATAGAATATTGACAATTTCAGTTTCAGCAATCCTAATTTGATATTAAAATAAAGTGTCAACTGAGGATTATCATTTGTATCAAAATTTAGCAGGTATGGAAGGTGAGGATGCCTTATATTTTGTATCTCTTTATTTATAATATGATGACATACTTGAAATAGCTTTTTTATTTTGAAATAGAATGCTGTGCTTATAAATTTTAAGGCAAAACTTAATTTAAAGAAAAAATTGTAAAAAATGGCAAATAAAATAGGGAAGAATGAGAAGTTTAAATATTTCATCCTTTCTTTATGCATTCTAAGCCTAATTGATATAACCTTTTGCCTTTTTTTCAAAAAAGTTTTATAAGAATATTTGAAAGCAAACATTATTATTACTTGTTTACGTTTGCTGCACAAACTGAAATTGAAGTTGATAATTCGTGCTCTACAATTTCATTTCTTTTCATTTCCTTTTTAAGATATGCAAATGGCCATGACCTTTATTCTAAGTTAGACCTAGTTATACTTGCATATAATAACTGATATGATCAGAATGACTCAATGCTAATTTTAATCCAGTAAGTGGTGCAAACATGTACTATCGAGATCTTTCATTCTGTTTACTTATTGAAATCGATCGACTCCAATAAATAATTTATTCAGAATGACAAAGAAAAACTGGATTACTTAGAATCAAGAAATGTCTATAAATTATTTCTTATAGATTAGGGAATTCAGAATGTAATTGATTTCAACACATATAAAGTATCATTCATTTTGAAAATCCAAATTACGAAAAGTTATGCTACTATAAGAGGATGGATTCTTATTTCAATATTTGATGAAATGAACGAGATATACTTTGCATTTTCTAGAATGTATCTGAAAAGGAATAGAATATTAATCGATCGGCGATGGATCAAAATTCGTAATTTCAGTCTTTGTGGTTGGTTTGAGTACCTCAAGGTCGGCTGTTCATAAATATTGCTTTGTGTAGCAGAAGAAGTAATGGTAGTAGTGGTATTGGTAATGGTAGTGGTAGGCGTAGTATCGGTCAAACTGGGTAGTGACCTGCGCCTGAAGAACCACGACATTTGCGGATCATTTTGATGACGTGCTACTGAAAATGGTCCAAATGAAACTTGACGGAAGCGTTCCAAACGGTTTAATTGACGACGCAATTGCTCCATATAAACGGCTAATGTTTCGTCATCCAACTTCAAAAAGAAAAAATGACAATAATTTTATACGAATTTTATGGAAAAATTTGGCTTTTTAGTTTAAGATTAATTTCAAAGTTCTTCAATAATTGGTACTAGCCAATTATAAATCGTTATAATTTTAAATCCCACTGATAATCCTAGTTCCCTTCTCATCTATCACCTTTCATACATTTTAAAACTTTATCTTCTTTCATATACTTTGAAATCAAAAATTTGAACTTTAACCTTATGTAAGTATCGATATTTAAGTATATTCGTCGACAGTCTATTATAAACTAATGATGGATTCTCATACATTGGTTCATCGTTTTCCGCTTCAATTCTTTGCACCAGATCCTTGTCATCAGTGCTGGCGGAAGATCGCCGCCTTCGAAATCTTCTTATATAACGCCCTATTAATGAATATAATTAGAAAAAATTTTACTGAGTACGTTACATGAAATGTACCATAAACTGGTTGCAACTGTTAGTTAGATCTGATAAACAGAAGATTCAGATTTTCGAAATTTAATTTCCAACTTCCAAATTTTAGTTATCAAAGATGAAAAAGAAGAAAAGATGATAACCGTGGCGACCATTTCTTGCAAGTGTTTTTTTGTTCGCAGACAAAAATACTTACTTTTATAGTATTTGATAATTCTCAATTACTCAGTAACTGACTAATTAATTAACCAATCAATGCATTATTCACCATTGATTATCGTTTCTAATCAAGTAAGTAAATTAGTAAATAGTCAGATAATCAAATAAACGAGTCGTTAGGCAAATAAATACTAACATTTGCTTTAGTATTTGTTTAGGTAACATTAATGCAAACAAATGAAATATGATATAATTGTGAAATTGATTCATCATTTAAACACTCATTTTTTTATCCTTCATCCTACCGAATTCAACAATGTGAGCCAGAATATGGATAAAGTGAATTAGCAGAAGAATGAAGTAATTATAGAAAAGTACCTTCGGATGATAAACTAAGGCTGGGATTAAGTAAAGCAGAGAATACTTAAATTACTATCCTTCCCTTCATCCACCAAAAAATGTTTTTAAATTTTTTTTTCAAATTTGTTAGGGGAGTATTTTTGTTTGGTCAATTGTAATTAATTGGAATACAATATAGTGATCGTCCACCTCGACTGAGACTACGAGAAGGCTTTGCTCGATGACAGTCATTTGGAATTGCTGTACCACTCTAAAATATTAATTAATAGTATTTGGATATTTAAAATCAATTTTCAGTACCCATTAAATTTGCTGACAAATTCAAATTTACTCCAAATAATTCATACCGGTAATATATGCCTATATTTTCGAAGTTTTTATATCAAATAGATTTGGACACTAAGAAAATTCATTTGAAAAAAAAGCAAAGTTAAGATTGCTTTTAATGAGAATTTTCGGCTGAAAGAGCTCAATAAAATCAGGAATTCGTTCAAATTTCAGATAAATTTTTTTTAGAAATCTGAATTTTTGACAAGCTTGAATTTGCAAAATGGAAACGTGAAAAGGGAAAAAAAACGAACTCTTATCCTACGGCAGATTTCGATTTTTTCCGCAGCATGCAATTTGCGCTGCAAATCGGCATATTTCTGCAATTCAGCCTCACGATTTCGTAGCATTTTGTCGATCATCGTATGATGCTGTTTACTTTCTCTGTCATTCACATTTTCGCCAAGCCTAACATCATCGAGCTAAAATGAATAAATGAATCGATCAAGCAATTAATTCAACCCAGTCATTAAATTCAATTCAATCCACTCTATTTCATCCAATCAATAATTCCTATATAAGCTTTTAGCACAATATACGATCATTCCGTTTATTTTTCTTCACTCTATCTTTTCCGAGAGCAAGAAAGAGATTCTGTAAATTCAACAATAAATTTTGGAGTCAAAATTCGATCAATGAAAAAAGATAATTCATTCTGAAATTTTCCGCCAATTTTAAAATTATGTGCAATTTTCACAGTTTTCTGTTAAAGCCTTAAGAATAATGGGAAAAGGCGCCGCTAAATTTATATATTATCACAAAAGATTTTGACTTTTTCCTTTGTTTTTTGATATTTTTTCATTTTCGATTCGTCATTTTTAATTAACACTGTTATTAAATCTGTATTTGAATTTAAAATTCGACCTTTTTGCTATTTCACATGTGTTTAATTTCGATAGATTTCATAATTAATTGAATTTTTTTAATAATAAATATTTTTGGTCACTGCTTCGAGCCCAGTTCTAAACAAAAGTGACAATTATTCCATGACATTGTTTACATACGGAAAATCTGGCAATAAGTATTCGTAGAAATAAGTTTTTCAGGCAAACTCATATCTAATTGTATTTAACGAAAAAAAACAAAAACTCATGCCTAATTGTATTTAATGTCTTTAAACAAACTGTTAATGTCAGCAAATCTCGTTAGTAGTCTTAATTAATTTGTCGGTTTTTCTGATGTGATAATTTTTTTTATCTATTTCATATTTCAGTCGCTAAATTCAACTTTGTTCTGCCAGCTAGAAATTTGAAATCCAAACATGTTTGTCTATCTTATTTTATAAAGACAGAAATCATTGGAATATTTTTGAGATTTGTGAAATAGCTCAATAATTGTCAATAATTATTCAACCGTAAGGAGAAAGAACTCAAAAGTTAAAAGATTTTTTTCAAAGTAAACAAAAATATAAATCCCTCCTAAAATTGTACAAGCAATTATCGAATCAGACAATAAAAATGCGGTAATTTTAGTGAAAATTCTTCGTCTTTTTGCTCTCTATCCATTTTTATAATTCTCTTTTCATCTTTATTTTTCCAAATAAAAAAAAATCTATTTGTGCCAGATTACGATAAATGAACTGTGATTTTAATGACTATTTCTCATAAAAATTGGAATAAAGAAAATGATGGAAATGTTGGAATGACAATTTGCTATTATCATTGTACATTTTATTACTGTGAAATATTGAGAGAGAAAAGAGGGAAAAAATTTTAGTTGCCACATTTATTATTAATGACATCATTGCTGACAATTAACAGCGGATATTAGTGTTAGTTAATTAGCGTCGCTTTCATACTTTCCAACTTAATTAGACATTTGGAGTGATATTTCGTCTAGCCTGTTATTTAGCCGAGAAATCGCATTTAAAATCAAACTAAATATATAGCATCATTTTCTGGCGTAAAGGAACAACAATTAATATCAGTTCCCAGAAATGTTTCTGGCTTCCAGCAGTCCAACCAATTAATTAATTTCACCGAATCTACTGATGATTCAGTTTTGAATCATCGCGTTATATTGTTTCAAACTTTGAAAAGAGAAAGTGAAAGTACTGGCAAGTATTAAGTGAAAAGGTGAAAAGGCTGTATATCACACAAATTTCACCAAAAAAAGGAATTAATTATAAAATTTTTTTCTTTTTTCTCGCATCGCAAGTTCCTCTTCACAAACAAACAAATTTGATTTCAAATATATTAAATTTAATTATGAGTTTCGTTTAAACAATAGAATATAGTGCAATAAATTTATTATTCAAAAATCAATCCAATTAAAAGAAAAAAAATCTTACCAAGCCGATATTCCTTAAATGACGTTGCATATGAGGCATGGCGAAGTATTGGCGCAAATGTACATCGTATAATGGGTTATAGTTATCCAACAAATCGTCATTCATTGTAATAGTGGAAGTCATAAATCAGTAATGAATATATATATATATTGATCTTTATCACTATTGATAGTAATCACCGGAACAAGTAAGCAGTTCTTTTTCGTTTTTTCCAATTTCTCTTGATCAATTAATCAATCAGTTGATGGATCAAATTGATTTGTTCTTCTCTCTGGTCTAAATTAATGTTTACTTTAGGAAACTATATTTTTCAATGATACTGCGCTATTGTCTGGAATGCGAAAATGTTTTCATAACATAGAAAGTAAACAATAAATTTTAGCAAAAAATTTCCCGATCATGTTGTATGTAAATATGATGAGCATATTATCAATTGTTCAAGGTATGTAATGTTAATTTCTGGTTGAATTTCTCATTTTTTTAAACCGATAATACCGAAAATACTAAATGATTCCAAATTGTAATTAACTAGCTGGTCCGATAAAGTAATATGGATCCTGAAATTAAACAGTAACGATTAAATTTAATCATCATGATATGTTAACAAAAGATACACTTACTGATCACGGTGCATTTGAAATACGTTTGAAAGATGGAATTTATATTGCGCTATTTCGGATTAAGATATCTTTTGATACAGAAGTATAGCTTTTACTTCAATAATAAGACAAACAACAATGACTTACTTATCATAATCACAATTCATAATCATGATCATCCTAATTTAGGTGATTTCGCAGTTTCAAAACTTTAAAGGACTTTTCAGAAATTATGAAAAAATACTCAGAGAATCAAATTAATTAATGTCTCGATAGAAAGAAGAGAAAAAGGAAACGATCGTGAAAAAACGTCCATCGATGTTCGCCGGAATCATAATCTTATATCATTATTTTCGTTTTCCAGCATACAGTGATATTTCTTTTTGACGAATTTTCTTCCTTATTTTTCGAAAATAAATTTAGATGAAAAGTAAATTAAAATGGCAAACACATTCTTCTTATACGTAATTAGATGCCGTAGAAATAATAATATTTGAATTGAATAACTTAATCTATGATAGCTTATAAAAAAAATTGGTTCTTTGGGCAAATTATGATAATTACACTGAATCATTTGTTATTCATCCATCAAAATCAAATACAAATATACATCCGCACACACACACACGCACACACACACACACACACACACACACACATGCACAAACATACACATACATGCACACATATACACAGACGCGGATATACTGTCACGTCCTGACACAGTATAATGTGACAGTAAAATGTCGTCCTTCTCTGCACCCCATGTCCTTTCCCTTCCCTATTTCATCTTTCCAAATTTCGTAATATATTTTGCAAATTGTTGCATTTGAGAAAATAAAATTACCAAGGAAAAATAAAGTAAAATGAAAATGAAAAGGGAATTATCATCAATTAAATTATAAAAACTCATTGTTTAAACAACTGTCTGGCCTTCAGCAAATTCTGAAAATGACATTCAAATTTTCATCCTTCTTCATTAAATTGAAAAATGAATTTTCGAAATCGATAAAATTGAACTTCAATTTCTTCCATCTTAGTTTCCCTTTCTCTCTCTTTCTTACTTTCTATTTCCCACAATTACTTAGAAATAATTAGAACAAATTATTGGCTATAAATACTAAGGATCAAACAGAATGCTTAGTAATATTCTTAACAATAGAACAATATATGAGTAAATGAAACGATTTAAAAAATCAATAAATTAGCTAATTTCTAAGTATTTTTCCGCCTATTATAAATTCAATTCAGTTGGATATTGTTTGTTTAAGCCGACATTTTGTCTGTTTCTTATTGAAAGGTATGCAAATGAGACTGCATCGAAGAATTACTAATATATGAAAAAACACTTCCTCTTTTCAGGCTTATTTTCAATTTTTCTGTCTTTTATTTCCTTCGTTGAAAAACAAATAGGAAAATTGTTTGCAATGATGAATTATGTCACTTTGATTTTTATCTCATCGACATTCTGATTTTCCTTTCATTTCTAATTTTTTATTTGCTTCCATCAAAATCGGAAATTTAAAGCAATAAAGTGATAAATTTGAAAATATTGGAAAGCCATTTAAGCCAAATGGTATCTTTAACTGAAACATTGAAAATTCGTTTCAAAATAAAAAAGTTCAAAGTTTATGTTGAAATGTTGAAAGGAAAAATTGTCGAAATTAGCAAGTAAAAGCATCAAAGCGCTCAGAAAGTAAAAATGAAATATGTGGCAAACATTACTGAATGAAATTTGATATTTCAAAAATAATATATTCTTGCAATGTTAAAATTAGCAAATATTAGCAGTGTTAAAGCATTCCTGTGGCGCTTCATTATTTTATATTTTATTATAATTGAAATTTAGTCAGAATTCACGACCGATTTTAGTTAAATTTATTTAAATTGACCTAGTTTTCTAGCATTTTACAAAATTTTAATCTCCTTTTTGTTCATCCAGAAAATAGTATGTATAAAAGTTGATGGAATAAATTGCTTGAGAAAATTGACATTTGACAAGATCAATGCTGATGAATGCGCATGCATTTATATGGGCGGTTGATCTTTAGCTTATGTTAAAAATTAGATTAAAGAAGTTCAGAAAGCAAAAATTAAAAAATTGAATAGAAATGAAAGAAACGAGCAATAATGGCATAAATGATATATCTAATCAGCAGGAATTTAGTGCCAAAATCTCAATATTTTCAAATCTGAGCTCAATTAATCAAGTATAACAACCTTAACTAAACATTTTAGAGTTCCTGAAAATTCCTCTCAAAAGACAAGCTTAAGACTAAAGTGATAACTAGTCAAATGCAATGAACTCTTAACAACAATGTAAAAGAAATACGAAAAATGCGATGTTAAGGATGAATGACAGGTTTGCAGTTGACGTCATTTCTTAAATGAGTCATAGTTCCCGAAATTTAAAACTTAAATTTTAGATTACCGCTAGAAAGAACAGTTGCAGTTGAAAAGGAAAATATTTTTTTGTTGTAACAGATTGTACGGTGACAACTGCTGTCATCTTTATTAAATCTATTCTAATAACTAATAAAATTTATGATTTTTCTGATAAAAATATTCAAAAAGTTGAGAAAACTGGAACAAGTTTTATCAAAAGGTGAATTTTCAAAATATAACCAGATCTTTAGATATAAGGCTTTAATAGACG